GTGGCCCCAGCCCAGCCAATGCGGCCTCTATTGTTTATTATGTCTGTTGTGATGTTGTGGCCACGTCGATGACGTGACTACGTCAATGACGTGACTTTGACGAACACGCAACAGAAAGGTGTGTGTTCGCCTAAGGCCCTACAGGTGTCGCTGTATAGCAAGCCGTTTTAACATTCAAACGCCATTCAAAAGTTTGACCATCCGGAATTAACAGTGTTGATATCAACAACGTCTTTCCGACTGGGCGTAATTTCATTTTGGACAGTGGGAGTTGTCATTTGAGATATCTGTAACGTAATTTTGACGAGCCGAAACGACAGTTAGAGGTACAGTGTCTAGAACATAATTTCGCCTAGTCAAAACGCAGGAGGTTTGTCTGTTTGTGTGTACGTCCGGGGTATAGTGGTGATGAAGGGAGAGGGGGCACGCGGAGAAAAACGTTCTGGCTGCTGATTGGTCTAGAAATATGGACTCATAGATGACGCGTAGTTCCGGGTTTTCTATGTCTCGAGAGGAGGTAACTGTCGGTCATTCGTGAGCGGCACACACGGCAGTTGACTGTGGAAGGTAAGAGCGCTACATACACACACACACACACACACACACACCGTCGACCTTGCCGTGTTCTTGGTTAATATTGTTTTCTTCATCACGACTAGCGGCATTTATTTACCAAAAGTCATTTTGTAAAATTATATATATCTTAAATGTCGGAAACGGTGGCCGCGCGGTAGCGTGGCCGCGGCTTTGTCATCACCTCACTGTTGTCATTTTCTTGTATTTTTTTGTTTGTTTTTAATTTGTGTTTCCACCAACTACATCCTCACATCACGTGATCATTCACTCGACTTTAGTAAAAGTGTAATTTTCTGTACCTCACGTCGTGACTCCTCACGTTTGCCTTGTGAACCTGTGTAATTTGACAGCCGTTCATCGTTTTTTTTTTGTTTGGTTTTTTGGATTGAGTGACTGCCTAATTTGCCGCCCCAGGGCGCAGCCATTTTTTCCGTTCTTTAATCAGTACACGCGTAACGCGTGACGTGGGTTGAGGCTGTGAATCACAGAAATATTTCAAAATTCACAGACCCACTGTCTGTGAATTTTGAAATATTTCACTAAGTGAAAGGGGCGTCCTCTGAGGTCAACACACGTCATAAGTTTTCTGACATCTGTCCATATCGATCAAATCCTGTAATTACGGGATGTTTAAGCTTTTTATTTGGGAGTGAGGGTACGGGGGGGGGGCAATAGAACGTGTTGTTGCCCTCTGTACTAGCGACAACAACCAGTGACTTGTCACCATTTGAACAAAGTGTCTCCACTCAGAACAGTGGTCAGTAGATAGTGATTGTTTTGGTGTTGACAAAACAATGGACGATATGATAATGAAGATAAAGACTGTCGTGATGATTCCACTGGTTGAACGAAGCATCCCCCGAGGTGGTGACTACACCTTCATCCTGGGTTCAAATTTTATAGCCCGTCTGCTGAGAGCTGCCATGAGTCTGAACACGCACCTACGTCAGTGCAGTTTGTTTGAAGCTAATCTGACAGTCCATATGGATCAAGTTCAATCTTATAATTATAGTTGAGATGATAAGTTGAAAAAAAAAACCTCTGTCAGATCAGAGTAGGTGCTAGAAGAAGTGATGAATTGATGGATGGTTTAATTAAAAATATAACATTTAGGTTTTCTAGTGGCGTTTACTTTTATAAATTAAAAACAAACAAAAATATAACATTTAGGTTTTCTAGTGGTGTTTACTTTTATAAATTAAAAACTAACTAACTAACATAACACATTCTTCCATCTCATCTGTTGCTGCTGTATTTCTTTCGTCTGCCTCGGGCTCTGAGATCATCACTTTGACCTACAGTGGCCTTTTCACTAAGCACAGAGTGGGGTGAGGATGAAGAGTATTGTCATTGGTCGTCCACGGCCCGATCCTCTTCTGCATAAAGAAGCAGGCTGTGGTCAGTGGGGCGGGGCTCCGATCTCAGCTTCATGTCCTCTATAATCTGAGGACACATTTACTGAGACTGACAGGTGTTTGATCAGTGTGAGGGAGGGTCTTCACAAAGCTCCAGGAACACACCCCCTGGAGGGCTGTCCTGTGTAAGGCAGCCTTAAATACTCTGAAGTGATACTGTGGAGCTCAGAGGCTGCGGTGAGGGTGGAGGTGAAGGTGGAGGTGAGGGGTGGAGGTGAGTGAAGTCTGACAGTAGAGAGTGAACTCATCAGTTATCAAGGTGTCGTTTGTTTGCTTTTTAATGGAAACAGTGGTTTGACTTGTAGGTCATTCAGTTTAGTTGTTCGGTTTTGAACAAAAAAAAAGTTTATTTTTTTGCAAATTTAAACTCAGAAATATCACGGTACATGCACGTCCACACTGTTTGATGTTATTTTCTCTGTTTCATCTTACATTTCAGGATTTAATCCTTCTCTCTGGGACGTCAGGGCCAATAATATTAGAAATATTGCGGTAAGAAGGCAGCATGCATCTCCAGGTTGACTCTGTACTCCAGTCCATCCTCCTGTTCCCGGTCCACCTGCTGGTCTGGCTGTACTCTGTTCTGTCCTTCCTGCCCTGGTACTACATGACTGGTGCTGGTCAAAAGAAAGTTATGTCCAAGCGGGTCAAGGCCCGTTCCACCTCGGGCTGCACCGATGGACCGTACCGCTCCATAGATCACTTTGACCGCCTGGCCAAGGAGGACTTCCCGGGCAAGGACACACTGGACAAGCTGTTTGATCACGCCGTGGAGCGCTTCGGGGACGCACACTGCCTCGGCACCAGAGATGTTCTTAGTGAGGAGAACGAGATGCAGCCCACGGGCAAAGTCTTTAAAAAGGTACGGATGTCTTTGTTCACTTGTTTGAATTATGAATATTATTATAATTATTATTAATGAAGAATGACCGAGGTGTCTTCCCCCTCCAGCTGATCCTGGGGGAGTATCGATGGCTGTCGTACAATGACGTCGACTCCGTTGTCAGTCAGTTTGGGAGTGGACTGGCAGCTCTGGGACTCCAACCCAAAAGCACTATCGCAATTTTCTGTGAAACCAGAGCAGAGTGGATGATCACTGCTCAGACCTGCTTCAGGCACAACTTTCCACGTAAGAGTGTGATCTGTACAGTACAAGTAGAAAAAGAAGAACATGAGCCGATATGTTTTGACTGAATGACTGTGTTGTTTGTGAAACAGTGGTGACATTCTACGCCACCCTCGGAGAGGAAGCGATTGTGTTTGGTCTGAACGAGACGGGCGTTTCACATTTGGTCACAAGTGCAGAGCTGCTGGAGACTAAGCTGAAAGTGAGTGGATTTACTGCAGTTTATAATCAGTGACATTTTTTAATCAGAATTAAAAACCTGTGAATTACTCTCTTTGTTGAAGAGTCGCTCTGTTTTATTCCTGCATGTTGTAAAAAGTCTGACTTTTTATTAAAATAATTATTTTGTCGTTCACTTTATTTACTGTTCCGACACCTCTGATGTCTGTCCAGGATATACTTCACCAGTGTCCCAAACTGAAGCATGTGGTCTACGTGGACCAGAAGAAAGTGAGCACAGAAGGCTACCCCGCAGGAACCTCCATCCACAGCATGCAGTCGGTGCTGGAGTTGGGCGTGCGGCCTGAACACGGTGCGTGTTGTTGCTCCGCCTCGTTTCCATTCTCCGTCTTCTACGTCGATGGAAAAATAACAGCAGTTTGTTTGTCCTGCAGTGGGGAGAGAGATAGTGAGGCCCGAACCTTCTGACCTGGCGGTGATCATGTATACCAGCGGCTCCACGGGCCGACCCAAAGGAGTGATGATCATCCACAGTAACCTGATCGCAGGAATGACGGGACAGTGCGAACGCATCCCTGGACTGGGGTAGGTTCTGAGATGAACTTATTGAAACCAGAGGAGAACGTGTTGTTGGGACGCTGAGCTCTAACTTTCCCATCTGGACTTCCTGTTTTCACAGACCCAAAGACACGTACATCGCTTATCTGCCTCTGGCTCATGTTCTGGAAATGACCGCGGAGATCTCCTGTGTCACATACGGTTGTAGGATTGGCTACTCCTCACCACAGACGTTGTCAGACCAGGTAATACTCAGGAACCCCATCAGGCCAGGTGTGGTATCACACCTGTAGTTGTGGGTTTTTTTTTATTTATTTATTTTTTAAAAATAAATCTGGTTTAGTGGCTACAGAACAGGTAAACACTGAAAGGTGACTTATTCAAGTGAGATGTGTTAAAAAATATGAGTTGGCAATATAGACAAGTGAGATAAAGATGTGTTAAAAAATATATGAGTTGGCAATATAGACATAATATACATGATTTGGTAACATATAGAGTTAAATGACAAATCATTTTATTAAATGGTTAAACTAGAATTCATGTTTTATGTGATGTTGATAAAAAGGTGTACTGGCCCTTTAAGATCGTCTCACCACACTTCAAACCTCTAAACCTGCTTTACAGGCTGTGCTCATTATTACAGTATTTCAGTTATGCATTAATATATTTTCTCTCTTTCTTTTAGTCCACTAAAATAAAGAAGGGCAGTAAGGGCGACTGCTCGGTGCTCAGACCCTCCCTGATGGCAGCTGTGCCAGTAAGAAACCTCATTTTTTCCACTGCTGTCTTTTCCTTTCACTTCTAGTTTTACCTCCAGTTGTTTTGGGGTTTTTTCCAGCCAATCACGGTTCAGTCTGTAAATGTATCCTGTACGGTTTTTTCTTTCTCTAAAAAAGGAAATTATGGACCGGATCAACAAGAATGTGATGAGCAAAGTGCAGGAAATGAACATCATCCAAAAGACTCTGTTTACACTGGGCTACAAATATAAACTGGAGCAGATCAAGAGGGGCTATGACGCACCTCTCTGCAACGCGTAAGGAAACACTGTGTTATCTTAAAGTGTCAACAAATGTCCGGCTCCACAGTCACGCTCTGTGTGATCGTCATCGTTCCTCTACAGGCTGCTGTTCAAGAAAGTCAAAAAACTGCTGGGAGGACGAGTGAGGATCATGCTGTCGGGGGGGGCGCCCCTCTCCCCGGCCACGCAGAGGTTCATGAATGTGTGTTTCTGCTGTCCAGTGGGTCAGGGCTACGGCCTCACTGAGACCTGTGGAGCAGGCACCATCACAGAGGGTGAGAACAGACGAGGGAGTAACAGGAGGATGTGTCGTTGAGTGATTGGATCAAATATTACTGCAATTAAATACACACTTTCACAGCTAGTTAGTACTGTAGATTTGAAGTACTTTTTGTCCAAGATGAGATTAGAAAGTTTTGTAATTTGGTTAATTAAATGTTGATATTCTTGTCTTGAACATACAGTGGCGGACATCAGCACCGGCCGCGTCGGAGCTCCTCTGATCTGCTGTGAGATCAGACTCAGGGACTGGGTTGAAGGTACGACGCCCCCGTCTGTGTCAGTACACGCTGTACTACCACTGAGTACGACCCCTGACTCATGAATACTTGTTTGACCACAGGTGGCTACACCAGTAAAGACCAGCCCAACCCAAGAGGAGAGATCCTGATTGGGGGGCCAAACGTGACCATGGGCTACTACAGGAAGGAAAACAGCAACCAGGACTTCTTTGTGGACGAGACGGGTCAGAGATGGTTCTGCACCGGGGATGTGGGAGAAATTTTCCCGGATGGCTGTCTCCAAATAGTGGGTGAGTAAACTGTGGGAGCAGTTAGTCATACGCCCCCACATGTTGACACACCGACAGTGTCCCCACTGTGGGACAAATAAAAAGAAAAAGAAATTAAACTGAAATTAACTTGCCTGGCTGCAGAGGATCAGCACCACCCTCAGGGGCTTTAACTTTAGTTAAAAATGTCCTTAATAGAATCAAACGTTTGTCACATGATCAGTTCCACGTGAAAAACAACAGTGAAATGTTCAACAGTAACACAGACGCAGGATGATGAATATAGTAATAGTAGTAGTAGTGCAGTAGTACTGCAAACACTGTCACGCGACATGATGTGGTACAGTATGTAAATGACATCATTAATACTCACAGTATTTCTTTGTGTCCTTTTAGCCTCGTTTGCCTGTTCTCTGTTAGACGGTCGGATCATTTGCATCATGATTTGACTGTTCTGTTGAAGTTCTCCTCAGTTGGTTTGGTTCTTAGTTACAGTCAAAACAAACATTCTCTGTCACCACACCTCTTTGTGTCCTTTTAGCCTCGTTTGCCTGTTCTCTGTTAGACGGTCGGATCATTTGCATCATGATTTGACTGTTCTGTTGAAGTTCTCCTCAGTTAGTTTGGTTCTTAGTTACAGTCAAACATTCTCTGTCACCACACGGCGAAACAGAGGATTATTACTTTAATAGAAATAGTTTTGGCAGCTTTAGTGATGTATTAGAACAATAACACAAACAATCATTTCTTTTCCATCTTGTCAAAACTAAAACAATGTAAATCAAAATATTCCATACTCTGTTCCATCCTGGTGTGGATAATCTGATCAATTTGACGTCGTTTCCTCTGTTCTTCCCTGCTCTGCGTCCTTCTGTGCTCAGCTCCTGTCATTATCTCGTGATGTTGGTTGAAGAACGTCCTTTGATCTTTTACCAGTCCTAATTAGCATCCAGTGTGGTTTTAGCTCATGACTTTTTTTTTTCTTTTTTTTTTTCTTCATCTTCTTTAGATCGCAAGAAAGATTTGGTCAAACTGCAGGCGGGCGAGTACGTGTCCCTGGGCAAAGTGGAGTCGGCGCTGAAGAACTGCCCTCTGATCGACAACATCTGTGCCTACGCCAACAGGTGAGCAGACAGACGGCGAAATGCCAGAGACAGGTGGCGCTGTCTACATGTAGTGAGTGTGACCGTGTTCACAGTACTACACTGTAGTAATTGTGGATTTTCCACCCCTATTTTTATTCATTTTTACTTTGGTTAAAACAATCACTTTAATGTGTTTTTTTTTTTAATCAAATAACATCAGATGAATATTTACTGTAATATTTACAGTGGCGTGCACTTCCATCATCCTCCTGCAGAGCGGCCTCAGGGACCAGACATCAGAGCTTCTTTAACGTCACCTCTGTCTCTGTCGTTTCTCCTCACAGTGACCAGAACTACGTGATCAGCTTCGTGGTTCCAAACCAGAAGCAGCTGACGGCCCTGGCCAAACAGAGAGGCATCATGGGAACGTGGGAGGAACTCTGCACTCACCCTGAGATGGAGAGCGTAGTTCTGAAGGAGATCAAACTTGTTGCCACTAACAGTTAAGAACTAACCCTCCATAAAATACAAGCAATACAGGAATAAGGTCGCTGGTTCGAGTCCCGTTGGTGGACACTGGTCTTTTTGAATGGTGTTCTGAGTGTGTCTGTGTCCAGGATTAGGTCAGTTGTTCACTCTACAGTCACCATAGGTGTGAATGTGAGTGTGAATGGCTACGTGACCCTGTGACATAAAGAGTTGTTCTCCTTAAATAAGAAAATTCACAGTAGTACTGATCCAGTACACATAAAGAGTTGTTCTCCTTAAATAAGGAAATTCACAGTAGTACTGATCCAGTTTCTGTTCCTCTCCACAGTTAAACTACAGAGGTTTGAGATTCCACTGAAGGTCCACCTGAGTCCTGAACCATGGACCCCTGAAACCGGTCTGGTCACAGACGCCTTCAAGCTCAAGAGGAAGGAGCTGAAGAACCACTATCTCCACGACATAGAGAGGATGTACGGAGGAAAGTGACAGAGTCACAGTCACCTGATCTGTCTGTAGTTTCATTGGTCCATCAATGTCATCGGTCAGTTTTACTGTGGTTTGTTCATCACAGATTTCCAAGTCTTGAAATGCTGTAAATAGTTGAAGCTGCTCCAGATATTTTTTTTTCTGTTTACATTTTGATTCTCACAGAATTCCATACGAAGGATTATAGAAGATTGTTCTAGAACCAGATGCCATCCACTCTTAGTTCGACACTCTCTAACTGTAGTTGTCTTCCAGTGATTTTCAATGCCTCCTTGTTGTTGTTTAGTTGTTGTTGTTGTTGTTGATGAATTCGCTAAAAGTATAACCAGTCCTGTTGATTAGACGCTTCTGTGACGTTGGAGTACTTTTGTTACTGTGCCTTCGGTCTGCAGTACTTGTGTGGTCGCGCAGATGTAAGTGGCATAAATAAGAGAAACAAGTTTGTGGTGTTTGTTACAGAGGAAAAGGCCAAACTGCCATGTTAATGTTTACTGGAGGCTAAAGGAAAAAAGACCCCGGTCCCTAAACCACTGAGGACGGAGTTGATGACCGTGTCATCAACTCTCTGTGATGTTTTATTTATTTAAATAAACGTGTGTGAACATGACTCAGGAAGAAACAGTTTTAATATATATATATAAAATGAGGGGAAGTGATGACCTGATGAACAGTCAAAACTGTGGAGCTTCTTTTCCTGCACTCTCTCGCTTCTACATGAGCTGTAGGTCACAGCTGGCCTTCTGAAGTATAGTGACCTCATTCACAGTCAGCGTACCATCTGACGCTTGTTGGATTTCAGCCATGCTCGTGTTGTTGTCGGAGGTTGTGTATTTGAGTACTTTTCCCCAACTGTTTGGTTGGATTCGTCATCCGACCGTTGAAGGGGCAGATGTTCACACCTTTTCCAGTCGGTTGTACAATGATTCTATTTGTATTTATTAGACCATTTTTCACTTGCCTTCAACATTTCTGAAATAAACTTTTGTAAACGGGAGTTGGGGTGTCATTATTTTACTACAAAAACTTTTTTTTCCAAGTTTCAAATGTGAATGTACAAAGCATGGTGAATGGTGGTCTCAGCTGTTCCAGTCCTGAAATCGGAAACAGTCACTTGCGATCTTCCAAACAGGCTGGTCATTGTTGGTGGAAGCCTGTGCCGTCAGAAGGAAGTTCTGGTTGAAGAAGCGTTGTTTGTTTCCTTCAAACTTGACGATGCCGCCGGTGACCACGACCAGTGTGGTCTGGCCCTGGGTGGCTTGTTCTGTGAATCAAGAAAGGATGGATTTAAAACGAGGCCCTGCAGGGGGCGTCACATTGTAAACTGCAGTGACATGGTTGTTTCCACAGTTTCAGTTTGACATGTACTTGGCCACAGGCTTCTGGATCCTTAAATCATTTTCATTACTCTGGACATGGAGACCTTATTTTTAACATGTACTTTTTTCCCTTTAATTGTTTCATCAACATAGACCATATCCAAGTGGCTTCTGGATCCTTAAATCATTTTCATAACTCTGGACATGGAGACTTTATTTTTAACATGTACTTTTTCCTCTTTAATTGTTTCATCAACATATTTAATGAAAGACCATATCCAATGTATGAAACACTCAAATTAACACTAAATGCAATTAATGCTTCAAGTCGATTGTGTGAATAATGTTGTGTCCCTTTTCCACCCTGTTTGCAGCTGTGTTGGTTCCACTCACCATGAACTGGCTGGCAGTCCAACGTGTGCACTTGGAACTCGCTCGATGGCAAAGACTCGAAAAACTCGCCCAGAGCATCCTGACCTGACACCGTGTTGCCGTTCCACACCAACGTGGCCTTGTCCAGGTAGAGTCGGGTCAAGTTCTGAGACAGGAGCCAGTGATTGATCAGTGTGACAACAGGACAAATAAATATGAGTCATGCTTCAACAAACAGTTGAATACTGACTGGAATTGAAGTAAAAGTTCATTACAAGGTACAAGGCACAATGAACTTTTTTTGACATTTGATTGTTTGTTATGAGTAGTTAAATATTGGATTATAATCTGGATAAAAGTCCATCGTACTGTTCAGGTAGAGGCAACGTTGATGCTAATGTTTTATCATTTCATCCTGCAGGGGTTAAAAACGTTAAGGAACGAAACATTTGAAGATAGAATGACATTGAATTAAATTACATGTCAATTAGTATTATATACATATCTTTGATAATGAACAGATCGCCCCTCTCCCCAGATTTCAACTGTCACACGGTCGTCACTCACCCTCCTCTTCTTGTCCATACAGTCATAGTAAATGTTGACGAACTCCTCTGAATATCTGCAGGACTGGTCCACATGTGTCCTGAAATCCTGCAACGACATACATTTATTTATCATTATTCTCTAAGCAAAACAAGTACCATTATTAATAATAATGCTAATAATAATTATAGAAACTAAAAAGGTTGAACGCGAACATAGACTTCATCGGCTAGCAAGGGAAACAACATAACTTTAGCTTTACGATGTTAGCGTATAGCAGCAGAGTCTCTTATTTATATTTAAACTCTATTTAAAATCGTCAAACTTACTAATGTGGCCGCCATGATAACAAGTGGGCGATAAATATGAAATATGAAAAAAACAACGAAGGATAAATGATTAACGACAGAGAATAACAAATATTTATCGTGGTTTTTCTATTCAGTTACTATCGTCGCCATTTTGAAAATTAATAGCTTCCTCGTAATGGACACCATTTCAAAATAAAAGCATCATGTCTGTAACATCGTAATACAGTACATCGTAGATGCGTTGACTTTTTGTCATAAACAAAAAGAGAGAAAGATAGATAAAAATAGACTTAAATCACATTCGTTCTTAATTATCGTGACATTATCACAGTTGCTGACATTCTTTGAATATCTGTCGATAATGTGTTTTGGGTTTTTTTTCTTTTAATTTAGTAATACATGCTGCACCTTGCTGTGACTCTGTCTTTTCATAGTAACTGTGGGAGTTAGGAACACAAATCAATTGATTATTTTTTATAGCTTTTTAACAAACCGTATGCATTTGAGTACACTAATTTAAACTCTTGTGCTATTTTGCTTCCTTTGAAGCTGGAAATAAGTACTTCAAAGTACAATGGTTCAATTTCTGAGACAATGTTGAGCGATATTTTTATTTTGAAGAGAATTGCTGCGTCATGCGGAAGTAAACCTTCTGGGTCGTTGTCGTTCATGTTGAATACGGACCGTGTGGACTGTTTTGTTGATTACAGTGTTGATAGTTTGTGTGAGGATGGAAGGTACGGTGTCAAACGTGGAGGTGTGTAACTACGCCTTCACTGGACAACTGGACAAACTGCGCCAGTGTATTCTGTCAGATAAAACGCTCGCCTTTAAGACGGATCAGGTGAGAACAAACGACACAGTGGACTGTTGTCTAAAACCATGACAATGGATCACTTGTCTTTAACTGTGAGTCATTTCAGGACCACAGAACCGCCCTGCACTGGGCCTGTTCTGCCGGACACACCGACATCGTGGAGTTTCTGCTTGACCTGGGAGTGGAGGTCAACCTGCAGGATGACGTACTCTCATTTCTCTTCATATTTGCTAACTGACCCAATGAGTAACGCAGTAAATCAGTACTCTAATATGTGAATCACAACCCTACCTGGGTTGTATTTGTATTACATATTACACACTAAAGTGCATGTAGACGACTGCTCCAGTACAGGGTTAGGTTCATTTACCCTGACCGTCCTGTGGTCCATTTCTGTGCAGGCATCGTGGAGCCCTCTTCACATCGCGGCGTCTGCAGGCCGAGATGAAATCGTCCGAACCCTGATCTCCAAAGGAGCTCAGCTGAATTCAGTCAACCAGAATGGATGCACTCCTCTGCACTACGCAGCCTCCAAAGACAGATACAAGGTGAGTTTATTACGTTTAATACTGCAGTAAACTTCAACTCAAACAATTTTCTGTATTTGTCAGTATACAGAGGAGAGTCTGTAAACGTTATTGGTCAAATAGAGTTAAATAATAATCGTAGGTATGGCGATGGTTCATGGCCTGTCGACCATTGGTGCTACTCTGGCCACCCCTAGTGGTACAAACGGAAGCCTGCGTTCTGTACCAGTTGTAGTACTACATTATAATAATAAACACAATAATCTTCTCTTCTTCAACAACTGGACTTTAATGTTTGTCTTTAAAGATAAATATTTTTCTGAACACAGTGTAAATAGTTCTGTTTTCTGTGAAACCAACATTTCCTTCGTCGTCACACAGAGAATATAAAAAAAACCAAACTGATGGCCACCCACTGGGTTGCGCTGTTCTCCACAGGTTCAGTTTGGTTGAGCTCAATGGAACTGGAACTTCTCTTTTATCCATTGTTACCAGAGAAACTCTGGTTTTCACTGATACATGTGTAAAAGTCCAAAGGAAGTGTTCATTTAACCAGACACCTCTCAGACAGTTCCTGTTCCTGTTTCCACTGGAACCTCTCCACCTCATGAATGAAATGTCCCACAAGCTTTGAAACAGAACTATGAATTTCTTACAGTATTTTTAGAAAGCTCCTAGTGAAATACTTTACAGAGAAACGTGTCAAAAATTAAAAAAAAAAAACAATACTTTACAGAGAAACGTGTCAAAAAATTGTTTTAAAAACCCAGAGACATCAGTACCATCAGTATAGTTTTAGTTTCAGTCTCACTTCCAAAATAAAATCCCCACAAAAAATAGATCTGAGAGTCAAAGAAAGTGTGGGCACCACCATTCTTCTCACACGTGGTAGTCTAGCTCAGTGGTTAAAGAATCCAGCCTCTGATTGGACGATTGGATGTCGAATCTCAACCACAGTCGCGTCAAAAAATCCCTGCTCCCCACAATGAAAATGCTGCTGATTATGTCAAAGTGTGAATTTATTTAAAAAGTAGTGCAGGGACGCAGTTAAAAAAAACAAACATCTACATAGTACCAGGACTGTTGTAGCTAACGTTAGCTCTGGTGTCTGTACCAGGACTGTTGTAGCTAACTTCCTCTTCTTCTCCTAGATAGCTATGCTGTTGTTAGAAAACGGAGCAAACCCCAACGCCACCGACAAGTTACAGTCGACTCCTCTCCACAGAGCTTCAGCCAAAGGAAACACCCGCCTCATCCAGTTGCTCCTCAAACAGAGCGCCTCCACCAACATCCAGGATTCACAGGGAAACACAGCCCTGTACGTTACCCTGAGTGTCTGTCCAGTACATTAAGAAGTGACCAATCTTAGAATGCCTGTCTGTACAGTAAGAAGGTCACCGGTTCAATCCCTGTTCCCTGAGCTGTCCGTGGTTCAGTGGGTGGACTGGGGTAATCTTGTTGATTACAGTGTTTTTGAAGAAATTAATTTTAACTGTTCATCTCTTCCCAGCCACCTGGCCTGTGACGAAGAGCGCGTGGAAGCAGCCAAGTTGCTGGTGGAGCACGGAGCCAGTATCTACATAGAGAACAAGGAGGAGAAGACGCCTCTCCAGATCGCCAAGGGAGGTCTCGGCAACATTCTTCGTCGGATTATTGAGGGCTGATGCGTTTACTGACCTGCCAGTCGTGTTCCACTTCAACGCCACACTAGTGATGAGTGACATGCTGAAGGTTGTCATCACAGCACAGTGTGTTGTGACCCTTTCAGATGTGCGGCAGGTAAATGATGTAAAGGCAGCAGCAGCAGTTGTTGGACTACAGCAGAGTTCTGCCGGGTCTGAAATGCAGCGGTGTGGAACTCTGGTGTCTGATCATTAGCTCTTTCCTCAGTTCCGTGCGCTCTAACAGGACTACGTGTTTTATTTGAAATGTTCAAATTAAATGGAAACCTGTGTCCAGATCTGTACCTGCTCTTCAGTCTGTGTGTTTTTATTTACATGGTTCGTCGTGGATGATGTTGCACGATTCCGGTCCTGGTCAACACTCGAGGGCATTTACCCAGTGAAAGTAAGGCTGCCACAGGGGGGGCGACATATATACTATTTAGTCTGAAGTCATGGCACCACAAATGTAGCCACAGCCAGTGTTGATGTTGACAAGACCAATGGATTCGATCTTAAACTTTGTCTCAGTCCACAATAAAAATGATATAATTTAAAACAATTTTAAAGTTCAAATACTTAAATAATTTAATTTAATTGTTCAATTAAAAATCTAAATAATACTAATCTAAAACCCGAACTCAGAAGAATCCAGACTCAGGCCACACACTTCATTTGGCATAATTTTATTTTTCAATTCAAACTTTACAATGTGATGATTGACCTAATGAAAACAACAACAACAACTTTTAGTGACTTTACTGACCATTTATGCTAAATATTATTTTAAAAAATACGTCTAAATTAATGTGTTGTTAATGTAAGGTCGATTTTAACAATGGTTAAAGTGATTTTTTTTTTCTTTAATCTCAAAGGTTTATTTAGATGCCCCTAAAACATTCCACTTTTTTCTTGGATTAATGACATTAACAATATCATAAATTCCACTTTTTTCTTGGATTAATGACAACATTAACAATATCATAGGCATGATGATATATTGAGTTTTTTTCCCCCAGTGTAACTGTAGTCCCAGTGTGATCCTAGTCTCAGACTCTGTTCCATCTGAACATCAGGTTCAGAAAAATGAACCAACACCAGGAATATTGGACTGGGAATTGGTGAGGAAAAATCAACAACTGATGGAGGAGGAGATTGATACGGTATGGTGAAATGAAAAATCACAATATATCGATATACTATTACACCCCTAATCTTTACTACTGTTTATTAATCACTCATTCTGTCCATTTGAGAAATGCTGTTTTGTTTATTTTTTCTGTTCATTTGTTTTCAAACTTATTGTGGCCAATATAGTCCAAGTATCTCTGCAAATATTAACGAAGTACAGGCTGCACCATAGTTTTGGCCACACCTGAGTTCTCGGCACTCTAAATGACGTCAAAACTTTAAGCATTATTACTGTGAAATACTGTTGGGCTGTTGTTGAAGAATCTTCTGTCCGTTTTCACACCCAGGACCGTGACCGTCTGCTGCTCAGAAGCACTTCCTGTGGACGATGGCTGGTCCGACCTCGTCGTACTCCTGTCTGCTGATCCACATCTGCTGGAAGGTGGTCAGAGAGGCCAGGATGGAGCCACCGATCCACACCGAGTACTTCCTCTCAGGGGGGCAGTGGACCTAAACACACATGGTGTCACTGTGGAACCTGTCCTGGACACTTGGTCAAAGTGATTGAAAGTGAGTGAAGATTACCCGAATTTTCATCGCGCCTGCCACCAGATCACCGATCTCGCTTTGTGTGCGTTCACCGATAAAAGGGAACATGGTGTTTCCCCCCGACATAACGATGTTGAGGTTCAAGTCCCTGCGGATGTCGACGTCACACTTCATGACGCTTTTGTACGTGGTCTCATGAATACCTGGAGACTCAACACCTGTGAAAACACGAGGGGTCAAATAATGACGGAACAGCACCCCCTTCAGTCCACACTGAGGCTTAAATGGCAGTGAGTGAAAGACAATTTTAGTAACATCAAACCGTCAGGAAGTTGTAACTCTACCTGAAAAATAATATTAATTACGTTTGTGATTTTTTTTTTTAGAGTAAACCCGTTGCTTTTACGCACCAATCATAGACGGCTGGAACATGGCCTCCGGGCACCGGAAGCGCTCGTCACCTACGGTGATGATCTGACCGTCAGGTAACTCGTAAGTATTTTCAACCGAGGACGGAGGAGCGTCGGTCTCATCCTCAAAGTCCTTGGCGACGTAGCAGAGCTTCTCCTTGATGTCACGCACGATGTCACGCTCAGCTGAAGAAACGCAGACCAAAAAAAAAAAAACAACTGTCAGGCTGTGGGTGACGTTGTCGTTGTGTTCTCTTTGTCAGGTTCTCACCCACCAGGTGTGACAAAAGAGTAGCCGCGTTCTGTCAGGAGTTTCAGGAGGTACTCAGTCAGGTCCTGGCCGGCGAAGTCCAGACGGATGATGGCGTGAGGAAGAGAAAACCCTTCGTAGATTGGAACGTTGTGGGTTATGCCATCCCCAGATTCCAGGACGACACCTAATGAGAAACAAAATAATAGAAATTATTATTATTATATATAATATAATGCAATATTATATATATACTGAATATATAAAAACAATATATATATATATTTTTTAAGTTCTAGTCCCAATATATATATATATATATTTTAAGTTCTAGTCTTGTGTATGCATTTAATATCCTCCTGCCCAAGGTTTGTTTTTTTTGTTTTCCATCTCACCTGTGGTGCGACCAGAAGCGTACAGCGACAGCACGGCCTGCACGGCCACGTACATGGCGGGGACATTGAACGTCTCAAACAGGATCTCAGTCATCTTCTCCCTGTTGGCCTTGAGGTTGAGCGGGGGCTCTGTCAGCAGGATGGGGTGCTCCTCCGGGGGCACACGCAGCTCGTTGTAGTAAGTGTGGTGCCAGATTTTCTCTATGTTCTCCCAGTTGGTGATGATACCCCGCTCAATGGGGTATTTCAGCGTCAGCATGCCTCGTTTGCTCTGAGCCTCGTCACCCACGTAGGCCTCTTTCTGGCCGATGCCGACCATCGTGCCCTGACAAGAGCGAGGACCGGAGATGGTGATGTGATGCAAACGTGCTGCAGATTTTTAACCTGAATTAGTTTGAAATTCACAAATGGTTCTTTGTACCTGTTGTCGAGGGAAACCAACAACAGAAGGAAATAAGGCACGAGGCGCGTCGTCTCCAGCAAAACCAGCCTTCATCAGGCCGGAGCCGTTATCAAGCACCAGGGCGATAACTTCTTCATCATCACACATGATGTCGGCTCTGGAACACACAGACATGACATGATCGTCTAAAACAGTGATTCAGAAACTATTTCAACTACAGTACCAGCTGTTTGAAGCACAAGAGAACCTAAGATTATAGTATATAGAGTATTTTTAAGACACACCATCCCATAAAATAGCAGAACCAGCTCTTCATTTTATTTTTATTCTGAAATCACACACATAATGTACACTTAGACTTCTTGTGTCATTGACTCCCACTCCTCTATTTTGATTCTTCCAGTTTGGATCCATCTGTTACTGTATATTTACCACAACTATTTTGCCCACACGGGACAAAAAAAAACCTGGATTCCTCCATGTACCATTAGATGTCCACATACCGTAGTTTGGGAGCTGCTTTTGATAAACATGGTGGACTGTGGTGAGTAATTTATTGTCGTGTGGCTGGTTAGAATGTAGAAATAATTCATGTAAAACTTTTTTACAAATGTAAACACTTGAATGGCACCTGGGTTTTTTCTTTGTCTCCTTGACTCAGGATTAGTTCCATAATTATATGATTAACTTAACTTTTTTTCTGTTTAATATTCTAGTGTTCTGTAAAAGTAGTTTCAACCTGAGGTGGACCATCACAGAGACTGTGTGTGACGTGTGTTGCCGAATGACGAGTGATTTTTTTATTGCATTCTGTTTACTTTGTCAAATGAAGTTAAATGGATGAATGTAGGAAACTTCACCAGACTTAGAAACTGAGTTCCAGTCTCGTGGGAAGGTCAAGTCCTTTACTTCTGTTAATGACACTTCCAAGATGAGATCCGCTCACAAATCAACACATTAGGAAGACTTTCAGAGGCCCAAAGTAAGAGGGTGGGGGGGTCAAGACCAGGAGACAGCAGGTCTTAGAGTAAACAGTGGATTACCTACCTCAGAAGACCTAGTTATAAACACAGTGAATTGTTCTAGTCACTTCTTAATTATCTTTTTTTAATATTGTTTTTGTTTTGTTTGATTCTCGTTTGGTCGGTTTGTGTGATGTTGTTGAGTGTTTATTATTTGAGGTGTTTCTTGTTTATATTTTTGTCAGACATGGACCATTAATATGCATTGCTGACTTTCACCAATTGATGTCATCTTTTTATCCTTTTAAGTACGTCAGCCTGCGTCTTCATCTTTTTCTTGTCATCTTTTTATCCTTTCATGGTCACTTCACACTGACATCTCCAACTCTCCCCATCACTCTCCCACCCCCCAGGTTGATGCAGGGTCTTCTGGTGCTCAGTGTCCTGTAGAGAAGTTCTCTGACAGCTTCAGTTGCTCTGGTTTCATTTAGAGCTGCAGCAGTATTGGCCCTATCCCCAAATGCTCTGATTGGTTGAAACAGACGATGATTCCAGTCCATCTGTTGTATTTTTTATTAAAAAAAACAACCTGAAAATGTTTCAAAAAATGCCTTACTATACTAAGACATTTGTGAAAAAATCCAAACTACAATAATAATAATAATGAATAATCATACCAATAAAAATATCCATTATTATTATTGCTCATATAATTTATTACATTTTTTAAACTTCTATTAAGGTATGTTTTTGTTAGCACTTTTGTGCCTGTCAAATTGAAGCCCATTCATGAGTGGATGAATGTGGTCGAGACTTCTTTTTTTTTTCTTTTTTTTTTTGCACTGGTTTCATTTCCTATTGTTTTTTTCACTTCTCTGAAGTGAAGAGAAGTTTGAGAGATTGTGTGTTTAAAGTTC